TGGCCGGGCCTTTTGTGATGGCCAAATTTATGGGCTTAAAAGTGTTTAGTTTTGTTCGCCGGCAGCAATCAGCGGACAGCAGTCAAGCGCATAAAGATGCTCAAATTTATGCGCATTAGGTGCTGCCCGTTTGGGGGTTAATCGGGGAGGGGGCGATTCGCCGTGCCGCCTGGGGGTTAAGGGGGCGAGGGCTAGGAGGGGGCGTGGCCAGGCCTCGGGCCATTGTCAAAGTGCGATTTTGCGATTTACATGAATTATGCGTGCCAATTGCCGCCCCCTTGTACCCGCAATTCCCCGAAAATCAGAATGCGCTCGCAGCCCACGGATCCCAAAAACCGAACATAATCCCCAAAACTCCCCCATTTTCCCCAAGGCCATGCAGCTCACGGTTGCACTCGACAAAAAAATATAGGAATTAAATCGAAAATAAAATATATTTATGAAATAATATTTGCAGTGGTTGGGGGGAGGGAATACTGTATAATCCTTACTTGCACCGAAAATCTGGCTTTGATTTTAGATGTATTTATTAAACAATATTTGCCTGTTTGTGATTGTGCAGTCAAAAATATTAACTCATAAATATGTCTAAAAATTGCAGTCCGAATCTCCATTTATTGCAATTAATTATTATAAAAAAACAGTACCTAATATCATGCATAATTCTCATTCATACTCTTTAGACCAAAATTCTTGCTTTCATTTTAGGTATATTTATATAATTTTTGAACAAAAATTGCTCCTCTGATTGTGCAGAAATATAAGCTTATTTATTTTTATAAAATCACAAAAATGTATAAAAGTTGTACTTCCAATCTCCTATTATTTCAATTAATTATTATAAAAAACAGCATTCAAGATCTTGCATTATTCGCTATATTTATATAATTGTTGAACAATAATTACTTCTGTGATTGATAGGCTCATTTATTTTTATAAAATCATAAAATTGTATAAAAGTTGTACTTCCAATCTCCTATTATTGCAATTAATTTTTAATAAAAACAGTACTCCAAGTCTTGCATAATTCTCATACGAGCTCCCTATGTTTTGGCCCCACCCATAAGCCAAAAAGGCCTTTAGCTTTTTCCCACGCTAGCAAATCAAAGAGAAAAAAGACTGAAGTACAGAAAAAAAACACACGGCCAGCCAAGACATAAACTAAAAATAATAACGAACGTCGGAGAAATACTACAAGAGACAAAAATATAAATTCATACAGGAAGTTGTGATTAAAACCTGAGTGTGTGACTGTTCGCTGGATGTTAGACTTCATTTGGAAGACCTCCACTTGTGGATCCCCCACCAAAAGTTCAGCCACATTCCGGCGGAATAGAAATTAAGTCTGGTGCGAAGTGCGGATCAAATATGCCAAAAACCATGAATGGAAAATCTTACGAAAGATTTTCAGCAGCCCCGGACAATAAAAAGTTCTCATTAACCCGTTGACCAAATCTTCAAAATGTATTCCTATATTCTCACAGTCTTTATTTCTTGAGACATACATTTCTTTAGTTTTATTTTTAAATAAACTGTTAAGTTTTTCCTTAGTCCCTAGAATATATTTTCAAATCACCTGTTGATGTCTTAATGGGTTAACATGCTCCACATAAGCGGGAAATTGCGACAGCCTAATTAGAAAGAAGCAAAAAAAAAGAAACCGCTGCCAGAAAATGAAAATGCCAACTGGAAGTGTGGAAATCATAAAAAAAAGGCGAGAAAACGGGGCAGCTGCGCATTTTGCGGCTCGAACCTGTGACTATGGCGACGGAAGAGGATGTGGGCTGGATGGTATGGTGTTTTCCGTTTTTCCGGAAAATGGGCTTCAGTTTCGGTTTCACTTGGGCTCTTTTGCCTTTTACCAGTTGCCAGTTGCCATTTGCCCGAGGTGCCATGCCAACCCCTCTATTGTGGCTTTAAAAGCCCTCGAAAGGTTGCCCATTTAAGCCGCTTTCGAAGCCCTTTATCGTTCGGATTACAAATCACGCATTGATTGGGATCTCTGATTTATATCATTAGTAAATCAGAAAAATCGACAACTGCTGCCGGCAGTTTCCGCGAATTTTCCGTGGCCATTCAACCGTTGACCTTAGCGAATCTCTGAAAACGATTTCACAGTCGAGTTCTTAATTAAAATCATTTGGCAAAATGTTGAAAAAATGAAATGGAACTTATTTATAATTTGGATAAATTCAAGCTTATTTTCTTAACCTAATTAGTCATTGTATGCTATTACTTGGAATTTATGGGTTCTTTGGTTAGTAAGGTATTTTAACAAATGATAGTCCCCATATTTGTTATCCTATTTCATTGACTTATAGAAAATTCTGTGGCTTAGAACATCTTTCACCAAAAAACCTGCTACCCAACTTCCATTTTCACAATCATTAAAGAGTACAGATTTGACATATTCGTGCTGCAGGCTTTCTTGGTAAAATACCTCTTTCAAGAGGAAAAAACGAAAAGAAATTATCAAATATGATTGATTAATTGACTGGAGTCGGAACGTCAAGATACAGTGGTCACTCCTATCAAATGGCTATTTAAATACAACAAACCGAAGAACAAGAATGACAACAGTAATAATTATTACATGGCCTTCAAATCGAAAAAATGCCGGCGGCTTTAAGCCACAAGTCAGTTCTTTTAACCGGAAAATGGAAAGCAAAACGAGTCTCCCCAATCGAGAAATGCGACGATGAGTCAAAAAGTGACGGCTGAGTCCCCGGGGGCCCCAGAAAGTTGGTCTAATAATACCCAATGTCTCGCAAAATCCGTTCAAATTCGAGCAACAATTTGATCTCAATTGAGTCAAACTTAGGCCAACAAATTGGACTTATTTCAACTTTTGAAAGGAAATGACATCATTTTAACTACTATTTAATTTATACAATTTAAAAATTATCTGTTCATTAGAAGGATTGTTGTTTATACCCGTTACTCATAGATTAAAAGGGTATATTATATTCGTCGGAAAGTATGTAACAGGTAGAAGGAAGCGTGTCCTAGCCTATCAGGTATATATGTTCTTGATCAGTATCACATTTTTGAAGATTTTTATTATAGGTGTAAATTGATATTGATTTTATTGATCAATACCTATTTAAACGCTGAGAATGACTAAGCTAATTAGGCTTTGGTGCGGTCAGTAGTGACGAGGCACTATATGTATATATATATATTTCGTATCGTAGATTTTCAATGCAACTAAACATTGCAGTCTCCTCCCGCACACTCCCAGTGCGTTTCGTCACTACGTGGACTGCCGTCCACAAGGACTTTACCAGGAACTATGATAATGAATTCTTTATTTAACTGCGCAAACATCGAAGCTATTTTTAATTTGTGTCATTGGGTTTTATTTTAGTATTCATTTATTTACTTCGAAAAAAAATTTCGCATTTTTTACAAAAATCTGAATTTTGTATTTTTGACAAAAATGTGAACCCTTTTTTTCAGCAAAAAAGTTCAGTTTTTTGGCTGCTGTAACAAAATTATAAGTCGGAGCGAGAAATGTCATACCTCGCTGAACTCGTTGTTTAATTTCCAATCTATTGACATTTTAACCTGAAAATTTTTAATTTTTGCAATTTTTCGCAAAAAAGTGATGCAACCCCTGCAAAAAATGAAAAAATTGGTCAAAAAATAAATTTTCCTAAAAATGATGAGGATCGTTAGCATTTAAAGCAAGCTGCTCAAAACAGTCGGTCTTTTAGCTGTACGCCTTAATTTGGCTGAGCTACGATGGAAAAATCGAAAAAAAATTTCACATTTTTGACAAAAATCTGAACTTTGTATTTTTGACAAAAATTTGAACCCTTTTTTTTCACCAAAAAAGTTCAGTTTTTTGGCTGCTGTAACAAAATTATAAGTCGGAGCGAGAAATGTCATACCTCGCTGAACTCGTTGTTTAATTTCCAATCTATTGACATTTTAACCTGAAAATTTTTAATTTTTGCCATTTTTCGCAAAAAAGTGATGCAACCCCTGCAAAAAATGAAAAAATTGGTCAAAAAATAAATTTTCCTAAAAATGATGAGGATCGTTAGCATTTAAAGCAAGCTGCTCAAAACAGTCGGTCTTTTAGCTGTACGCCTTAATTTGGCTGAGCTACGATGGAAAAATCGAAAAAAAAATTTCACATTTTTGACAAAAATCTGAACTTCGTATTTTTGACAAAAATTTGAACCCTTTTTTTCACGAAAAAAGTTCAGTTTTTTGGCTGCTATAACAAAATTATAAGTCGGAGCGAGAAATGTCATACCTCGCTGAACTCGTTGTTTAATTTCCAATCTATTGACATTTTAACCTGAAAATTTTTAATTTTTGCAATTTTTCGCAAAAAAGTGATGCACCCCTGCAAAAAATGAAAAAATTGGTCAAAAAATAAATTTTCCTAAAAATGATGAGGATCGGTTAGCATTTAAAGCAAGCTGCTCAAAACAGTCGGTCTTTTAGCTGTACGCCTTAATTTGGCTGAGCTACGATGGAAAAATCGAAAAAAAAATTCACATTTTTGACAAAAATCTGAATTTTGTATTTTTGACAAAAATGTGAACCCTTTTTTTCACCAAAAAAGTTCAGTTTTTTGGCTGCTGTAACAAAATTATAAGTCGGAGCGAGAAATGTCATACCTCGCTGAACTCGTTGTTTAATTTCCAATCTATTGACATTTTAACCTGAAAATTTTTAATTTTTGCCATTTTTCGCAAAAAAGTGATGCAAAGAATGAAAAAATTGGTCAAAAAATAAATTTTCCTAAAAATGATGAGGATCGTTAGCATTTTAAGCAAGCTGCTCAAAACAGTCGGTCTTTTTTAAGTACGCCCTAATTTGACTAAGAGACGATTGTAAAGGACAACTTTTGACTGAAATCGGAATTCCAAAAACATTCATATTCATTAACATTTTCATATCACCAAGGGCTCTACTCAGAAATATGAAAATGAATTCTTTATTTTACTGCGTAAACATCGAACAGCTTTTTTTTGTGTGTCCTTAGGTCTTCTCTACTTCGATTTGTAATTGATTAGGGGCTTGAGTTGGTAGGACCTTCGCCTACTTTAGAGGAAGATGCCTAGGACATCACGCATTCCATTGGAGTTTCTGACTTCTCCTGACTAGCCACAGAGCTCCCAGGATACTCCGCTTCCAACGGCTCCACCACACCATTCGAATCAAATTTATCCTTTTCGGCCGACGGTTCTACGACCGGGGCACTGATATGGTTTTTATGAAATTTAATAATAAAATTTGGATTATTTGCCAAATTTACTTAAGATGGCTTACCAGGGCGAAAGGAGTTCAGAGGAGCTGTCTGCTCGCAATAAATAATCCATCTCAGGATCTTCTACGGGCATTGGGGCCCTAAATTAAAGAAAACCCACGTTATAAGTACGCAAAGTATTTTAGCTGCTCAGCCCTAAATGAAAATATCTGTTCTGTCCTACCTGTCAGAAGACTTGGACTTCTTGCGGCGCTTCTTCTTGCGCTTGCGCTTGCGGCTTGTGGAGGACCCTTCCTCCTCCTCTTCTGCGTCCTCCGAAGAATACTTCCTTAGGCGCTTCTTCTTCTTACGCCTGTGGCTTGTGGATGGTGCCTCCTCCAATGGTGCCTCCTCCAATGGTGCCTCCTCCATTGGTGCCTCCTCCAATGGTGCCTCCTCCAATAGTGCCTCCTCCAATGGTGCCTCCTCCAATGGTGTCTCCTCCAATGATGCCTCCTCCAATGATGCTTCCTCCGATGATGATGCATCCTCCTCCAAGTCCGCCCCGGTGATTCTCTTCATCATTTTGCTGAACAAGAGTTTCATATATGCCTTGTTTTCCTCTTCCGAAGAATCTTCGAATTCCTTTTCCGGCCGACTCGCCATTGCTCGTTTAGAAAAAAATCACAAGTCAGCAGCAGCTCCGATTTGTTAATATCAAATGTGGAACTAAATTGTCAGACGTAATATTTTTCAGGAACTCTCAGGTTGCTTCGTTAGCAATTTTCGTTCGATAAGACCTATCTGCTGAAAACCAGAGTTGTCACCCTGTTTCCCTAAGAAGCCATGGCCACACTGTAACACTTTAGCTGGTGGTACTAAAATGTTACTTTGTGGTCATGACTTTTTTTAAGGAAATCGGTAGTTATTGGTCTTTAAGATGGCGTACGTATTATTTTTGTGTTTTTTGGATGATGGAATAGAAATAAAGGTCAGTACGAGAAATGTCATACCTCGTTGAACTGCTAGTCTTGTTTCCAATTTATTGGTATTCTAACCAGAAAATTTTTAGTTTTTGACATTACTTGCAATCATAATCCGAATATTGGTCCAAAATAAATAAATAGATAAATTTTCCTTGAAGTGATGGGGATCGTTAGCATAGGTAGCAAGCTGATAAAAACAGTTGGCCTAATGAGTATCTGATAGTTCCCTTTTGTTTTATATAAAAACGCTAATGTATTTCCAACTGAGACTTCATATTCTTACTCGATGTCACGAATAGTCAACAAGTATTTAGAGGCAACGAAATAATAAAATTAATTTAACGTTGACAATCCATCCCCTTAAATGGCACACATTTTTCTTTAGTTTTCTAGTTTCCGTTTTAATTGTTTATCATTTTGCAGAGAAAATAAAACTCTGAAGTCGTCTTCGCTCTGCGCCCAACTCAATTAAAGTTTATTTATTTTGGAAGCTTATATAGTTCAAGATCCCCAGTCATTATTCTATTTATTAACCATTGCCAGTTGTTTGTTCCATTCAATTAAATGAGAATTTATTTTCCGCTTTTGGCTTTAATGCGCCAATTGTTTGCACATATCGTTGAACAAATGATGGGCCATATTTTTGCCTGCTGTACCGCATATTTTCGGGGGGTGAGTGAGGGGCGTGCCAAAAGGGGGGCTTGACTCGTATTTGTTCTATGATTAAAAATAAATAAAGCATTACGAGAAAATGCCGCGCCAAAACTATTAAATGCTCGTTGGGGGCGCACTTTCGAAGGGCGGGGGGCGGTGGGGAAGGGGGGCACATGGGCGTGGAGGGTACAGGGGGGGTGCTATAACCATGGCATGCCATGCCATAAGGGTCATAAACATTTTGCGGCCCAATGATGTATGGACATGTGAGGTTTTCTGTGCTGGAAAATCGGTTGGGTGGCGGGGCAGGGGCGCCCCCGAAAAAGGGGGCTGCACAGCAGGTGCTTAAATGGCGCACAATTAAAGGGGGGTTGCATGCTTTTGGGGGTAGGTGCCACAGCAGGCGGTAGGGATAATAAATTTTGGTGCTCCGTAAAGTACAGAAAAAAACAGAGGAGCAGGAAAATCAGGGATATGAAACGAAGCGAACTCTAACAAAAGCGGCAACTGAAAATGGAACAGGATTCCCTGTGTGTGACCCCCTCTGTTTCTCTTTGTCCAAGTCACGCGTTTCATTGTCACAGCAAATCGGAATACAAGTGACCCCCACCCACAGGGGGATGGACATCCCCCCATCCCCCCCAAAAAAAAATACGAAAAGCTGTTGGTCAAAATAATAAATTTGTTCAGGTTAATAGAGTTATTTTAATTTATGTGATTTCATGCGGTTTTTCATGTGGCTTTTTGCAAATGCGACCCGTTGTTTGGTTTAACCACCCTCCGGGAAAATCTCTGGGTTTTCCACCCCGCCCATTTCTACCTGCTCAATTAATGACACAACAAGGTTTCGACCCATTGATCATTTTGCTTGTGTGCTGCAAATATTATGATTTAATTGATTCAATTTCTTTTCACTTCGTTTTTTCCCCTGCCCTTATGGCGTAAATAATTTACCATAGTTTTTGGTATATACATACGTGCATCCACTCGATATTTATGGCTAAAATGTAATTGGCTTTTGGGGTTCAGCTGGTTGAAAATTGAGATGAGCAATAGGGATAAATCTTACGGCAATTGCAATTTATAGGGTTTATATGTTTATATATGTTTTTATAGGAACGCAAGATAATGGAAAGTTACTTAAAAGTATTTGTTCAATAATAATATATAGTCCACATTTTTAAAACTTAGCAAAATGCACCATATCTTATTGTTTTGATCAAGATATATTTTTGGTATTTTTCTTACTGGCCAGAAGAAATCTTTAAAGCTGACTTTAAGCGAAACCGATGACATTTGTACCCCGCTAAATAGGGCCAAGAATCTGGCCGCAGCAAACTCACAGAAAAGCAAGCATTTTCCGGCCGAACTTTTCAGTTTTCCCAAGTTTTCACCTGCTCGGCTGCGTAATCGCACCGCATCCTGTTGCTCAAATTGAGGGGCCATCAAAGAGCAGAAAGCAGAAAGCAAAAAGCAGGAGCTGCAGCCAAATCTTCGGTTGCATTTCCTGTCCCACAATGGGAAAGTGCTGATGATGATGCTGCACTGCGGGAAAAAACGGCCAAATTGATCGTCATTTACTTGGGAGTTTTTTTTAATATGTTTTTTAAAAGTGAAAAAAATTATTGAACGTAGTAATGTATGATATGCCAATTTGAATAAAATGTATTATGGTTTATACTTATGTTAAAATAAATAATAGTATTTAAAGTACTATTATTTATATTCCATTTATTATATTCTTTATTTTTCATCAATATTATTAAATCAATAAGTTTTTGTGACTTTGTCAAGATGCACTGAATATTATGCTCATGATAAAAAATTGAAGGATTTACATATTTGATATAACCATGATTAAATTTAATAATGTAATATAAAACGAATTATTATTTATTACTTTTAATCAATATGTTATCAAGCTTAAACAAAATGCTACGTCTTTTATATGGTTTTTTCTGTATAATTTTTTATAAAAACATGAAAAACTGAAGAGAATTTCTCGCCGTGTCGACACTGAAAACTGAGTGGTGGCTGAGTGCTGGGGCAACAAGTGTTGCACTTAATTTGCATGCAACATGCAGAACGCATCGCCCCTCTCTTTCGCACTCGCCATCGAATGACTCCCCCAGCGAAGATTTGCATACAATCAAAGTGAAACGAAATTGATTTGCCACTTTGTGTCTGACTGGGCATCATCATCATCATATACCATCCAGAGATCCCGATCCCCACACCCAATGCCATTGCCATTCCCATCGTCATCCATAAAACCCCATCAGCTGCTGCTTTCAATTTAGCAAATGGCACTGGTGCCGTCTCTTTCGCGCCCACGCAAGCCGTCTCTTTCGCACCGCTCAATTATTAATTTCTGTCGCGTGCCAACTTGAAAAATGATTGCGCATAATTGAAGCCGAAATGATGGGCAGCATTTTCGTTAATGTCAACGCCTCCGAAATCCCTATTCGAAGCACCCACCCCACTTTTGTTCAGATGCCAACCACCTGTTTTCACGTGCGATGAAAGGATTTAGTGACGAATGATACCCAGAATCGTACACAGAGCAAAAAAAATGGTTCGAAATTTAAATTTGGGTTTGAATATATATATTTTTATGAAAAGTTAAGATCAGTTTTTATGAGGATGTTGTGAAGTAACTAATTTAACAAATAATATATCAAGATTCCTAAAATTTTAGGACGGATCAGTCTTCTTATTATAATGCTTTTATGTAACTTATATGAAGAACCTTTTAATACTTTTTGAATTTTATAATATTTCCCCCCTTTATTTTTGGCAATGCAGGGCCCTTTATTTGGTCTTTTCATACACCTGCCCATGTGTCAGATCTGCTGGCCCACACAATTCGTCAGCCGCAGACGGGGGATTCACAAAAATAATACAGCCCGAACGGCACACGCATGCATATCGATTATTTTCGCATATCCTATGAATAGACGACCACCTGACCCATAATTATAATAAATATTTCAAAATAAACCCCAACGAGTGAGACAAGCGTGAGAATTTAGCGTTCGGTGTTCGTCTTTGTTTTTACCCATTTCGATTTCCCTTTGGCCCGCCTGCAATTATGTAATTAATTATTCACTGCAGAGCAAGGAGAAAATTGTCTGAGGCATGCAAGACGAATAATGTCCTGAATGATGGCCAAATCGGGGGCTATCTTCGATTTCGCTAGCCCGACAATTGATGGTCAAAAAGGTATATAAGAGGGGAATATATAAATGAATTACAATGATTCTTTTATCCGTTTTACTTCTTTAAGACATTAAATTTAGTTATTATCTGGGATAATCCACTAGTTGCTTGAATTTTTCCCCATTAAATGCCTAACCTTTCATTGCGGAGCCACAGTTCCCCCTACGACTCGTTTCCCAGCTTAACTCTGGATGTTTTTCTGCATTAAGTTGAGAGAAAACTTTTGCAGATCGTAAATTATTTTCACCGAAATAAAGCAGGCGAGAGAAGGAAAACAACGCACTTTGTCTGTTGAAACAAAAAACTCGTAAATTTTCATAATTGCATTGGACACAACATCTCGCAATGGCTTCTTCTTCATATATATATATATACGTATATATACTGGGGGACTTTGTTCCGGGGGAAAGTGGAGAAAGGGGGCTAGAAGGGGGGCCCTGGCTCAAGACTAAACACGATTTCCTGCCCTCGGGGCGCGGCGCAACAACGTGTCGTATGAGCAATGTCTCGGTGCAAACTCGAGGCGGATGTGTAATCATTTTATCATATTACCCCGGAACCCCGGCTCCCCGGAAACCCCGGAACCTCGTAACCCCGTAACTCGGTAACCGTAGACGGGGTCGTCCGTTGGCCAGTGTTTTAGCCACGTTTCGCTCGTTAAGTTCCGTCGTCTCGTTGATGGCGGCGCAAATTCAATTAAATTAAATACATGGCGAGTCGTGGCGAAAAGTGGGGAGTCTCGAGACTCCGGCCTCAAGTCTTGGCCATTTTTCGCACAAGAAGAAAGGCAGAAAAGGCCCGAGAAGACCAAGAAACAAGCGGTCGGTCTCAGCATTTAAATTTCCGCTGAATTGCGCTCGGCCAACGCTTATAAATCTTAATTAATTAAAATATACAAAAATACACAACACAACAATAAGCTTCGACAAGCCGGAAAGTTTCCATACGCCTGGGAAATAAACATGGCCCAAAAGGCAGGCAAGTTTATAAATATCTGCAAATTGGTGGATCAAAAGTATATAATTTAACTGACACTTATATAGATACCAAAAATCGAAAGAAGACATATATTTCAAGCTTGCTGATCCATAAAAAAATATTTTTTTATCGTTTAATTTAAAAATAAAATGCCTTCTATGCAGCTTTTTAAATAAATGCTATCACATCATTGCAATTTTTATATCGGTTACTCGTACAGTAAAAGGGTATATTGTATTCGAGAAAAAGTATGTAATAGATAGAAGGAAGCGTTTCCGACCTCCCAAAGGATATATATTTTTGATCAGGAAATATTGCTTTTCTGGTGGTACAAAAAATATTACAGAGTTACCATGGCTTTTTATGGTAATAGGGTGACAACTCTGGTTTTTAGCAGATAGGTCTTATCGAACGAAAATTGCTAACGAAGCAAGCCTTGAGTTCCTGAAAAATATTACGTCTGACAATTTAGTTCCACATTTGATATTAACAAATCGGAGCTGCTGCTGACTTGTGATTTTTTCTAAACGAGCAATGGCGAGTCGGCCGGAAAAGGAATTCGAAGATTCTTCGGAAGAGGAAAAAAAGGCATTTTTGAAACTCTTGTTCAGCAAAATGTTGAAGAGAATCACCGGAGCGGACTTGGAGGAGGATGCATCATCGTCGGAGGAAGCATCATTGGAGGAGGCATCATTGGAGGAGGCACCATTGGAGGAGGCACCATTGGAGGAGGCACCATTGGAGGAGGCACCATTGGAGGAGGCACCAATGGAGGAGGCACCATTGGAGGAGGCACCATCCACAAGCCACAGGCGTAAGAAGAAGAAGCGCCTAAGGAAGTATTCTTCGGAGGACGCAGAAGAGGAGGAGGAAGGGTCCTCCACAAGCCGCAAGCGCAAGCGCAAGAAGAAGCGCCGCAAGAAGTCCAAGTCTTCTGACAGGTAGGACGGAACAGATATTTTCATTTTAGGCTGAGCAGCTAGAATGCTTTGTGTACTTATAACATGGGTTTTCTTCAATTTAGGGCCCGAATGCCCGTAGAATATCCAGAAATAGATGAACCATTAGGAGCAGACACAACCCCTGAACCGCTTTCGCCCTGGTAAGCCATCTTAAGTTAATTTGGCAAATTATCCAAATTTCATTATTTAATTTCATAAAAACCATTTCAGTGGCCCGGTCTTAGAACCGTCGGCCGAAGAGTATAGTGTGGAAGATGTGGATTTGAATGGTGTGGTGGAGCCGTTGGAAGCGGAGGGTCCTGAGAGTTCTATGGCAAGTCAGGAGAAGTCACAATCTCCACCCTCCGAAGCAATGGTATGCGTGGTGTCCTAGGCATCCTCGAAAGTAGGCGAAGGTCCTACCAACCTAAGCCCCTAAGCACTCAGAAACCGAAGAAAAGACGACCCGAATATACACAAGAAAATAACTGATGTTAACGCAGTTAAATAAATATCACGTGGTGTCGTTTTGGGACTCAGATATGTATAATTTTTGGGATAAAGTCGGTTTAGTGCTTGCATATCTCCATCTGCTTTGCTCCGTTTAGCTGAGTAAGGGGTATCTGATAGTCGACGCCCTCGACTATAGCGTTCTTCCTTTTTAAGTAATATTTTATACAAATCACCTCATCAGCCAGCTAAGATTCCACATGAGTACGTAAATGTTCTTCACACCAAATTTCACAACAGAATCTCGAATCAAAGTCGAGTTACCATGGGCTGGTTTCCGTTTTTCCTCTTTCTGGGGGGCACTTAAATTTGCCCTCAATTGCGGCTGCTGCCGTCATGACGAACTTCCTAATAAAGTTATTATGCCCCAGAGTTAACAGCAATTACATGGCCCCTCATCGTCATTTAGCATCTCTCAGCATCTGTCAACCTTATTTTATTTCATTTTATTTTATTTATTTCTCTCGGCCGCCTGGTTTTTTCCCTGGTTTTTGTGGCGGTCATCCATCGGCTCATCATCAAACGCCCCAAAGAACAGTTAGCTTCTTCAGCTTTTTCATCATCTCTGTGAGCGTTTTTTGCCGCTGCCCCTCGGTTTTTCTAATCGAAATGATTTTGCTTAATTCATCTTAATTAGAGGAGCCAAAAGGCAGAGCCCAAAGTTTGCTGACCGACGGGGCTCTCAGATCTCTTGGATTTCTCGGATTTCTCAACTTCTGCAACTGTCGGCAACTAAAATATAAATAAATAACATAAAACACACAACATAAGACCGCGACAACAAATAAAAAAGAAGGGGCAGAAGAATTATATTTGCCAGCCGGTTGCTATTTATTTTAATTTTAATTTGCTCTTCTGCGATGCCCGTTAGCTTTTTCGCTGGGTCACCAGAAGTTCTTGGGAAAAAGAAATAATAATGGTCAAGATGATAAGCTCAGCTGGGAGTTTTCAGCTCTCGAAGTCGATCTGAAAACGGAAGTAACTGCTTAAAACGAAACTAAATTCGGTTTATATTCCACGCCTTTTAATTTGGCGGTTTGATTCTTATTCCCAGAATTCCAGATTAAAAGACGCTGCGGTTTTTAGGCCATCAGAGTTATGATAATACTGGTTCTGGATTTTATTCTCTTACATTTTTGTAATAAGCAGCTAAAGTATCATTTCTATTTTTACATTATTAAGTACTACATTTTGTTTAATTTTGTGGAATATTTTTGGTGACTCAATGGAAGACTGGGTTTTTTTCCACAAACAGATATGGCAAACTGGCTGCAAAGACTCAAGTCACTTGCCTGTTTGCCTTGCCACAAGATTTGTGCGAAACTTTGCGACAGTTTGCCACAGGATAAACTTGGACTTATCGCCATAGCCGCACAAATTGAAATGTATTTGGGAAGTTTTGGATTCAGCGGATTCGAAGAGCCGGAGAATTTTCCCCTGCATGTTGGCGCCATCGACTGGCGCCAAATCATTCGCAAGTCTCGATTCTCAATGACACCTGCACGGATTGCCGTGTAACACTTTGATTTTATTTCTGCCTGCCTCCGCGATACAGACATATTTTTTATTTATTTATTTACCTTCGCTGGCAACGGGTTTTCAAAAGCGCGAGACCACGCGACGTATACGCAACGCGGGTCTTGTGCTCGCTGGAAAAAATGTTGGTCGCGTGGGCGTTTCGTCTTCAGGCCAAACAGGAAAAAAATCAAAACAGAAACCGAAACAGAAATAAAATAAAACCTGCCCCACAACTCTGGGCCATAACTTTGCATTTTGTTTTTATTTATTTTTATTTGCGCCTTTTTATATTTCGACTCCGGCCACAGAAAACATCAAATGACAGAGAAAAATGCTAATAACAATAACAGCAAAAACGGGCGACATCAAAACAAGTTTTCGTGTCGCCGCACACTGCCAGAAATTGCAATTGAGTTTGGCTTACTTTGGAAACAAGTTTAAAGTTTATGGCCAGACAGTTGGGGGCTTTAACTTCTGACATCAACTTAATTTGCAAGAACTTCTGAGGAGTTTTTACAGCACGCATTCTGTATAAGGTAGGTACTTTAAAAAGGGAATTACATAACATATATATAACTAGTTGAATGACTAAAAGTAACCTATTGACTGGACCAATCGATTTTTGTTACAAATTATTGTGGACAGTGCTTAATATAAATCTTAAAATTATAAACGAATTTTATTGTGTCGCCGTTTCAACTCGAATCAAGTCAAACTTCATCTTGTGTTTGTACACTTTTGCGCATTTAACTTGGACTTCTGCTTTTGTCATTTAGGCAACCGATTTTTATTGCAGTTTTGTTTCGATTTTGGCTCGAAGACTTTGAGATTTTTGGTCAAAGGCAAATTGAAAATTGTAATAAATAATTTGCGGAGGCCGGACAACGAACGTGTTAAGGAAAATCAATTATCTAATTGTAATCGAATGGGCATTGTGGGCGTTGAAAAAGAGCCATTCAAAAGATGTTAAATCTGAAATGATGTTTAAATAATATGTTTTCCTTAGTCGGCAGCATTTGTTTGACCCAATTTTGCTGGAAATGCCAATACATATTTGTAGTTTATTAACAGGCAACAAAACCCTTGTTTTACTTGTTAAAATAAAGAAAATGTTGGTAATTAAATTCAAATATGCATACAACAAAGACATTGTATTCCTATTTCTATTCTTTACTTAAACATAGTTTGGATTTTTTTTGTTGTAATATTTTAACATGTTTTAATTTGGGTCCACCAAGGTGCAATTTGTCAGCCTTAAAACTCACTTTATTATCTACCTGAAATAAATCTCTGAGCCGCCAAATTCCTTTGACTTATCAAATGCTTAACTCGGATATTTTCCAATTTGAATGCAAATAATAATGGGACAAAAAAGCCGAGATTTATGGTTTCTATTTCTGGCGATAAGAGGGTCCCCCGTTCGGCAAATGAAAAAAAATGTTAAAACAATTTATTAATCAACACCGGCAATTTGTTATATTTCCCTGGGCCCTCGAGTTAAGATCAAACGGAGCCCAGGGAGACCCGAGCATCTGGAATTAGTCAGTGTTCGAATTTGGCAAATGGATCGTAAATCACTCGCCAAAGTCTGAATCAGATCCAGAATGCAAATGTTTCGGTTTCATCATAATGATCAGCGTTTTGAGGTGATGACACATATTTCACGCGCTTCTTTTTCCGTCGTTTTTAAGCCGAAGCTTTAGAGACATATTTCATTTGGAACCTTAAGATGACGCTAAGATGTATTTTACTGGACCGTTTTGAGTATCACAGCGACTTGTGTGGGAATCTGGGCTTATTTGCCTGTGTATATAGACCAGCGGGGCCTCTTGCATTTTGCATTGTCTTGGCCACAAGGTCGTTTGGGTTTTTGGTTTTCGGTCTTTGGTTTTTCGGTTTTTCCGCGGCTTAAACGAGATTTGAATAATTGCAGCGGCCAGAATTTATGATGTGCGCGAGTGCCGGAATTAAGCTGACAATAATAGCAGCAGATCTGCGGGTGAAGCACTTGACAAATTGTGTAAAAATAATCATAAACATGACCTCAATTTAAAGTTATTGCTCAATTAAGTCTCATGCTAATTTACACGTGATTGAAACAGTGAAAAACATTTAAAATATGGCTAATTTAGATCTGAAAAGTCTTGGAAATATGCCATAATAATAAGAATACATTCTTAAAAGACAATAAAAAAGTACTAAGATTATTTAAAAATAGTTAAAGAGATGGTATTATATATTTTTTATATATTTTTTGTGACTCCTTCTACGCAAGCCCCTTGCAAATATCCCCTGAAAAATCCCAAAAAAAACACCCGACCATCATTTGTTATGCTCAACCCAAAAAGGCAAATCTTATCGGAAGACAGCCCGGAAAAAAACAGAAACCCAACCCAGAAACCGTTCTTATCAGCGGCTTGTCAGGCCCGCCGAAGACATTACCCAGAAAGCAAGACTGAAACCGAAACCCAAACCTCAAGCCGAACCCCCTGAAAAACCCACCAGAGACCCGTTCACATTTAACCTTTTTTCGGTGGCGTTTCGAAATTGAAAGTTTGGCGCTGAAACTGGTTTATTTGGCTAAAAACTAAAAGCCAGCCACCGCAGCGGCTAACTGCAACCAACTGCAACTAAAACAGCAGGCACAGTGGCTAACTTTAATTTAATGCCAAGGAGGTGTCATCAGAATGGAGAAATATGTGTTAGCAAATGGATAAACACTTTTGTTAATCATTATTTTAAATAAATTGGCTTTTAAAAATTCAGCACCCACTAACACAAGACCAAATATAATGGTATCTTAGTTATTACATATATTAAGAACCATTTTTGATATAGATTTTAAATACATTTAAAATAAGTATATTTCAGATCTATGAAAATCTTAAGATTAGGATAATAAAATAAGTTTTTAATTGTTAAGATAAATATATTTTTGTTATTGCATAATAATTTTTTTTAACATATATCTAGAGCAATTTTTAATATAATATTTGAACCTATTAAAAAGAATACTCCAGATCTAATTTGAAAAACTAAGATAGAGATAATAAAATATATTTTTAATTTAAAGCCATTATTTATTCAACTTTTTTTAACTCACTTTTTATTTCGTTATTTCTTATGCTAGTTAATAAAATCAATTTAAATTTTCGCAAAAAATGTAACCACTGCCCAGGGGCCCAACCTCAATTTTCCACATTTGGGGATCTTTTCGGCCGACTTTCGGGCCTTATTTTGGGTTTTCGGTTGCGGGCTTTCAGCCATCGTATTGTCTGCGTTCTCCCGTATTTCATTCGCTCGCTTTTGGCTTTGTTTTGGCTGTCTTGGTGGCTTTTTTGGCTAATTTGTGTGCACCTCTCCTGTCAGAGGCGTGTAATTGCCATGGCAGTTGGCCGACGGGGGCGTGTTGCCACTCCCAATTACCCAGTTTTTCATTTTTCCTTT